AAAGGTAGTTTCATGTGTCCTAACATGTAATCTAAATGAGTATGCTGTGTTTTTACACATATATTCATACATGTATACCATTCTTTAACTAACCCTAGGAACATACCTTTACAATGTACTGCAATGGCACCCTCAGCATTTTCACAAATATCCAGAAATTCTTTGACAATGGCATCAGTAGGGGTACTGCCATCCGCAAAGAAAAGATCATGGTGATCGAAACCAGCATCCGCAAAGCGTTTAGCATCATACATCCTTTTATTCAGACGAATAACGGTAGTAACATTGTGATTCTTAAAATACGGAATATAAGTCTCAGGAGAATGTTGGTGGTAACCTACATAAAGAAATGCACCAGATATTGTAAATGCAGAAAGAAAATAATAGTTTCACCTGTAATTGGGTGAAGACAGAATCTAGACTGGGATTGAATACCAATTTGATTATAACTGTAAAAAACAAAATAAAGAAAACTTAAAATGCAGGCAGAATGATGCACTGAAATGACCAAGTATGCTTAAATAATTAAGACTTAGCTAAGCTTGGTTTAACTCTTCAGCCTCTTTCAAAAGAAAATACTGGGTGGATACTTTCAATAACAAAACTATATTGGCTCCATAGTTTTGCATACCACTTTCAAGTCTGGATCTTGTATGAGGTCCACAGAAGGCGATAAATCGGTCTGGTATTATCCAATTTAAATCTCCATTTTCTGCTTTCTGCAAAGGGAAGACCAGTACAATTCATTTTTAGACTTAATCTCCTCCCTACCTCTCTGCTCAATATTGAATCTCTGATGGACTTCAAAACTGCTTGCTTTAGCAAAAAATCTGTTTAAACATGACCATGAGACAGGAATCTAAAATTTGCCCTGCAATGAGGGAAGAATTAGTTCCTAATATTAGGTCCTAATAACCTTCTTTTAACATTGTTTCTTTTCTAGAGTAGTCAGCCCTTGGAAAACAGAACCAACTGCTGCCATCCAAATACACTAAATACTTGGTTATTTTATCTGAAAAAGTTCTCAAACTTTTCCAGTATGAGGTATCTGGAAACTTCCCTGTTTTCCTGAATGTCTAACCTGGTTTCCAATAGGAGCAATCTTAACTCCTTGAACAAAGGAGAAAAAACTATCTATTTAGGCTTCTGGCTTCTCAAATACATACTTATCTATTTATAGAGGCACACCTTTCCACCATTTTTCTAACTATTTAATAAATCAAATCAAAAAAATCTCACTAAACCCACCAATTTCACTAAACCCACCAATAAGGTCATAAATATAAACTGATATGTAAAACAGGTTACTTCCTGTTATTAAGTCCTTTAGATTGAGTTACCAATATAATTATAACATAAATATAGTTCAAATTTAACAACAATAGAAACATATCTTTTAATGAAATGGATAATAGAGACTTTTAATCAGAAAGTAGGAGACTTTTGATAGTAGAGAAGGAGAGAATTAGTGATAAAGAAAAACCCAGATAAATTAGCTTTGCAACTGAGGTGTTTATATGTGTACCAAAAAAGGACTAAGAAATAAAATGAGTTTCT